GGTGGCCACGGACCTCTTCTTTGAAGGACACCCTGCAGGCCACTGTTCTGCGGCCACCACTGGGGGAAGTGGGCACGGGCTGGTGCTGGGTTTAAATAGAGTCCAGCACGTCCGCATCGCACATGTCGGCCTGAGCAGCAGGTGGACCGAGTCTGAGGCTCGTGAAGAAGACCGCGTGTCCTCGTCTCTCTGAATTAACACGGGATTTACAAAGGGGTCCTCATATACAGGCATCGTAACAACATCCGCACGTGGGGTAAAAGGCAATGAGAGATCACGTTGAAACACTGACATTGCCGTCGTCAGAAAACGTTTTTTGAGAGCTTTTGTTTTACGTGCGAGAGCCGGAAGTAATGAAAGTCAGAAAAAGATCCCCCAAAAATTGGGATCACGCGAAACGCTTCTGAAGTCTCGGTCATATTCTTCTATGGTGAAGGCGGGCGAAAGAATGGCTTAAATTTTATTTGCGTGTATTTATCTATTATTCTTTTATTCACTCGCTGTGTTATGGTGGGAGATTTGTGTAGGGAGAGTTTGTGTAGGGAAAGGAGGATCGAGGCCATCGCTTGGAAGAATCCCTCCCGATTCGGGGCAATGAAGGCCCCGGGGGAGGAGATGGGCCGTGGCTGGCCGGCTGGGACACAGGTGGTCTGCGACGGTGCGCCCGCTCGCTAGTGGGCAGTCAGGCAGAGGCGGAGCTGAAAGGGCGGGAAGGCTGGTGGGAGGAGGGCGGCATCCTGTGTGCTCAGAACAAAACGCTCATTAAATGGGGGGTGTCGAGGGCTGGGGTGGGGGGAGGAGATGGGAACCAGGCATGGGCGCCTGTCACATATCATATATCTGCCATGTGCTTCTTGCTTTGTCCACAACTTTGTTAGTATAGTTGTTGGATGAATTATAAAATATTGATCCTGAACGATCGGGGATAAAGCTACTGTGGATACGTATCTATTTTGCTTTCGCCACCACGGCTAATAAGAGCTGTCTGTCCTCAAACCCAAGTGCGGCCGGGAGGTCATCGGAGCCGGGAGCCCACCCCTGCACCGCCCGTCCTGCTGCCTCCCCCCGGGAAAGGCAGAGCTGGCTGCGGACGCGCTCACGCCTCACTCCTTCCGGAACAGGGGAGGGCGTGGGGTTTACCCATCGGGTGCGGTGACCGCAGGCCTGACCTGGGACCGCGGTGCCTGGCTGGGTCACAGCTCCTCTCAGTCTCGTCCCCCCGGGACTGGAGTCTGACCAGACAGCACA